CCCCAAAACCCCAAAACCCCAAAACCCCAAAACCCCATGTCTCTGTGTTTGAGTTGAATAAGATCTGATGTAAGATAGACTAAATCGCACATCAAAGCTAAAGTTTAACAATAGGAGACCGCTCTAAGACCCTTTTATAGCTATCTTGTTCTGATCAAGTTCATCAGAGTCTATAGTGACTATATTCTTAGAAAAAATTATGTGTATTACTCCAGGAGTATGAGGCTAGGCTAAGACTACTTAACACCTCATAAGGTTGATTCCAAGGGTGAATTCTCTTGCTTCACTCCGAGCAACCTTTCTTTAGACTTTGAGACCCCAGAATTATACACCTGAGTACATTGACTTAATAAATGTTAGAGACCCCTAACTGCTGCTTCTTTCTCTTCTTTATTAAGTTGTGGATTACAATTTTGTTCCTGTTGATAAAGTCCTTATCAGTAGTTTCTTTCATGCTTCTGGAGAAATTATCTGCAAACCTTTTCTGAGGAAGAGGTACAGCATATTTGTGACTAGGCATATTCAAGCGAATGCTTCTGTCTTTAGTCGTAATTGAGTTTGAATAACCCTGATTAGAACTTGCTCCGATAGAGCTAGGTTTCTGACTTAATAGCTCCACAGTTGCGCTTACAATTTCTGATGAAGTTGACTCTCTTACACCTGAGAAAGCTCTTGAGCGTGTATATTCATGATTAGAGAAGACGGAAGAGCCATTGTTTGATACTCTACGGAGGTTCCGCATTTTAATCTCATGTAATTCCTTAAGAGACCTGAAGGTCTCTTCATCTATGTTGGTAATTCCTCCTCTTAGGTCAGAACTTTTGAAGGATGCACCTACTTTAGATCGTTCAGAGAATATGTTCCTGACATAAGGGCTGCCCTTAGGAGATCTTATTTTTGGAAGCATGAACTTCTCAGTTCCATAGATAGAATCTACCTTTTGCTTGTATTTCATCGAAGGGATCTTTGAGTTACTCCTATTCCTGGGATAATTCAGAGAGCTATTTTTCTCCCTCCTCTTGATTCGAGAAGGAGAGATGTATCTCTTCTGCTTGCCATGAGGAGATTTTGAATACTCTCTGCGGTACAACCTTAGATAGATTACATTCTCCTTGGCCTCTTCTTTTCTTTGAGAAACATATGACTTGTTAATCAAGAAATTAGACTTGAATTCCATCATCTTCGATACGTCTGAGGCTTGCAAGCCATTTTTGTTCTTATAGTTCTCCTTCTTCTGCATCTCAGTGGAAACTGAGTAGCCAACCTTAATGAGAGCCTCGATGATGTTCATTGATTTATTTCGAGTCAATTCCGATCGAGATTGCTGCGGTGCTAGAATATTTCTTTAAAATATAGTTGCTGAGGCCTCTTACAATGCTGGTAACAAGAGTTGGCGATCTTCTGAACACTCTAGCGATGTAGAATTTATCAACTTGGAGAATCTTCTTTTTGTATGAGAGTCATGCGACTGCTGCATTCTCTTCTTTGGAGTAGCTCCTAACTTTCAAGAGGATGCATGAGTTTATTTTGGGGTCACCTGAATTAAAGACATATTGGTCCGTTCCTTTCTCTTTATTTTGGGACAATGTCGAATAAATATGGCATCAAAGTCCGTCTTATGACTATAGAAGGTAGTAAATTAGATTTATTAGTCAAGAGGCAATTCTGATAGAATATCTCTTAAATGGAGATTGGTATAAATTTCAGCCCCACCATTAAGGTATTTCTCCCCAAAAATTATTATACAGTAACTATAAAGGAGCTTTATAACTTACTACTTGTGAAGTCCTCATTGATAGTAGGGTTAAGTTCTCTATCAAAGTTATTAAGAGAAATATTGTTCAGCTTCCCTTTAGAATTATACATCGAAGCAGTGGGAAGTTTCATCTTCATGCTTGAGGTGAATAGCTCAATATCATCTTCATCTTGGACCCATTGGTATAAAATGCCAAGTTGATTTTCTTCAAGGTCTTCTACTATCACTTTGTCTGGAGAAAAGCTACTGACTTTATGGATCATTCTATAGCAAGAGTCATGTCTTCTGGTCATTCCAGGTCTTCATAGGGTTAACAAAGTGGCTTATTAGCGTTCATAGGCAGACTTACTCTTTCCGACTACTCATTTTATAATTGTATTATTATATTCATTTTACATTCAGATTGAGGGGTTTTGGGGTTTTGGGGTTTTGGGGTTTTGGGG